GCTAGGAGAACAGCCTTGGATATGCAAGAGATCTTGAACGAATACGGGAAAAGTGGTGAGAATCCATATTTCAAACATTTTTTGTCAGGCGTTCAAGGATTGTACTCTTTAGATGGCTCTTCTCACCAGCCCAAGACTTATCCTGCTACGGCTCCAAGCTCTCCTCCCTCCATGAGACTGGATATTGGTGACGATAGCGATGACGATAGCGATAACGATAGCGATAGCGATATGGGTAGTGAAGCTTACAGAGGAAATGACCGTGATATGGATGAGCCTTGGGAAGAGAACACTGAAACAACTTCCACGAATGAGGGAAAGGACCAGAATACAGAAATTCTTTACTTGGATCAAGGTATTTTATTTTATTTGTTTGAGTTTTGTTTTGACGAGCTACTTTAGGACTCAGAGTGTTCCAATATGGAGGTGCTACAGGAGGGCTTGTATTGGATTGAGAGACGAAATTTGTACTTTGAATAAGATTTTTTTGTCTCTATTTTATACTAGGCAAGTTTGTACTAAAGACATTATCTGGGGAAAGTGAGGAGCGGAGCAAGTCGAGAATTGTGGGTCCAATTGTACACATTACGTTTTTCTGCTTTCTTTACTGTTGTCGCTTTCTCTTCTCTGCTATCGCTTTCTCTTTACTGTTTTCACTTTCACTCGCTTCTTATGAGTAAACAGCCTGACAAGAATTCAAAGTCTTCTTTGCCTAGTACATTTCTTTTTTCTACCTTCCAAACGTTCAGCTAAGGTATTTTATACAGAGGTGATTTTCACGAAGTTTTTTCGGGAAACTATTCTGAAAAGATTTAGAGGTCTAGTAGTAGAACAACTAAGGGTAAAGGGGGACATGCCAACCAAATGCTTGAGGCAGCTGACAAGATGTCACTTCCTCAACGTTCCTCCTCTCAAGGTCCCAATACAGTTTTCTCTGACGATGCTGCTTCAAATCCTATGGCCCCTCCCTTAGAAAAACCAGTATGTTCTTACCAGTAGTGTTTCTTATATTGATCTGGCTATCTATTCAGAAACGGGGACGAGGAAGTAGGGGAGGCAAGTCAACCACTCAAAGTAAAGGACGAAAAACTTCTTCTGAGCAGCCCCCTACTCCCAAGTCTCTGCCTACGATTTCTCCAACTACGGTTTCTCCTACCTCTGGATATCCTCCCCCTCTTCCTTCCATGGGTCGTCAAGTGCCTCTTCCATCAAAGGCCCCCATTTCCGAAGCTATTCGAAGAGAACAATCGGATATTGTAAAGGTTTTATCTTTTTACCAACTAAATCTTCCATTAACTAACTTAATAGAATCATAATCAATTTAACTCTTCTTTTTTCCGAGGTAAACTAAATTGACTTCTACTTGTCTGCTTACAATATTTTGTCGAAGGCTGGACTACTCAAAATTTTTCAAATTCTGTTGTGACTGTGCCTGGTGGTAATGCTCCCTTAGGTCTGGAAGAAAATCGTACGAATCTCCATCTTCCTGACAATATTTGGGGAGGGGGAGGGGGAAGCGGAGAGACACAGGGTGTAGAAGATTTTTCTGGACCTTTTGCCCCCCGAGAAGGTAACTTGGGATACAGAAGTACAGGTCCTAGCGATGTAGAACCCAGTTATAACAACCAATACAGTTGGGGACAGCCGGGAAATTACAGGGAAAGTTATGAGAATTATGGCGCAGATAATAGAGGAGGAGGTTACAGGCAAAATTACCACGAAGGAAACTTGGGGATGCAGGGTGGAGGCTACGAGGGGAACTTAGGAAATCAAGGCAGAGACTACGGAGGATCTTACGGAGGATCTTATGGAGGATTTTACGGGGAAGGTTATAAAGGTCCTGATAGCGGTTATGGGGGGTATAACAGAGGCCTTTATCAAAACTTCGAAAGAAACTATCCTGGTGGAAGAGGATACGACCATTTTTCTCAGTCTCGTTCCTTACAGGGGTTTATCAAAGACGACAGAGGTATCAAAGGTTTGGAAGTAGCAGAGAGTGCTAGGACAGGTTTCCAAGAAGCTACCCATCTCGGTACCGCTCAAGCTTCAGAAGTAGCTCAGAGGGGAGTTTCTTCTATTACAGAAAAGCTCAGAGAACCCACTGCCGAAGGAAGGTCTTTTTATTCTTATGTTAGATATGGAGGTCTAATTGCCCTTTTAGATTCTGAAAAAGCAAGAAAGTCTTTGGTTGGTAAAACTGAGCCTACTCTCTCTCCCTTGTTAACCCAATTTCTAGCTTGAAGGGGAGGCTGACCCTGCCACTGATTTTATCAAGAAGCGCAAGCGAAATTTTCCCAAGCCACCTGATCCTCTAGTTCTCAAAAGTCACGCTAAAAGCCAGATATCTGCTACCGAGGAAGATTTTGAGGAGGAGGAACAGGCGGAGTTTGAGCACGATCCTGACGCAGACGAGGAAGAAAACGAGGAGGAGAACCTTGGAGATGAAGATAGTACTTTAACTTCGCGGGAATATAAACGTGAGCAGTTTCTTACTCAGACGTTGTTCGAGCTTAAACTTTGAGGTTTTAGGCCATGCTTCTACAGCACCCCAGTCTGATTTTTACTCGCCATCTTATTCAGCAGCATCAGGTTCTCATTTACGGCTTGGAGCCATTTCCCGTGCAGTTTCCCGTCCAGTTTCTTGTCCAGTTTCCCGTCCAGTTTCTCGTGCAGTTTCTCGTGCAGTTTCTTGTGCAGTCTCCCGTCCAGTTTCCCGTGCAGTTTCTCTTGCAGTCTCTCGTGCAGTTTCACGTCCAGTTTCACGTCCAGTTTCTCCTTTGCCTACACGGCCTGCTTCACCAGATTTAGTCAATTCTTCTTTGTCCAAAGGTCTGTTTGTTCTATTACCCCTGCGATATTACAATTTCTCTGAAATTTTTCCAATATAGGTCTGTTTCGGTAAGATTCAATATGGGTTATTTAATAACTTTCTGCAGACGCCGAAGACACCGAAGATGCCCCAGAAGCAGCAAATCCTGCCAATTCCAAAGGTATATTTATTTTCATATTTTACTTTGCCTTATATTTTACTTGCCTAGGTCATAAATCTAGAGCTAACTCTACCAATGATCCTACAAAGCTTCTTTTTTACACACCTCAAGCAAAAAAAGTAATTGCGGGCTCTCAGTTATATATGCACCGGGCTATGGTTCTCCAAGGTCCTTTTTTAACGATGGAGAACCATGAAGCTCTACTCCTTGATTGTCTGGATCGATCAATAAAGGAAAGAGGGGAGAAAGGACTCCATGTTGAAGCAGGTGCTTAATTTTCTATTTTTTCATGATTCAAATTGATTATTTGCTTTATTTGTTAGGATACATCGACAAACACAAGGGAGATATCATTGTATTTGTGAGTTATTTGCTAGTATTTCTAATTCTTTCTTACTTTGTGTGATATACTAGTTGTATAAAAGCCAAAGTAGTTTCAGAAATACGCTGAAGAGACTAGCAGAACCGATAGTCATTAGTCAATATGGACTACCTTTACCCAGGGACCAGGAGCCAAGTACAGGAATTAACTCTTCTCAACTGGGAGAACTTACAACTGCGTATGTGAGCAAGCTTTTGGAGAAGAGTTTCTTCTTGCAAGATGGAAGAGACGCCAACGTAATACGCTATTATAGCCTTCTTAGTCTTCCTAGATGACGTCTAATAATTTTGTTCGTATTAGGGCCGAGTCAACAACTTCGCTCACCCCTGCCTCAAGGAAGTGGTGAAAGTTTTATTTTATACCGGTAACAAGGCTTTAGCAAAAACCTTCCCCAAAGATTTTGGGGCAGAGGTACCTCATGGTGCCATTGTTCTAGCTTCCATGCTTGTTGAGTTGACTGTTATTAATCGTATCTGCAGCAATATTTTGACCCCTTTATATTTCAGATTTGATACTGTATTTCCAAATACGAAGATGGTCCCAAGCCCCGGACTATCGATTTTACCACAGCTTCAAATCTCGAGTATCACAGGCTCTATTCCGATATGATTACAGCTATGCTAGGGGAACCTTATCATTCTTCCAAGTTCAAAACAAATCTAAGGTCCTGGGTGTCCAGTTTTGGGTCAGTTTCATGGTTTAATAGGTGCTTTGTAACTGACCGCTACTTTAGTATGGAAGCTAACTTGGAGCAGGGCAAGACTACCCGTATGAAACATATAGATCTTTCATGAACTGGACAGGTAAATTTATCCTTATCAGAAGGCTTTTAGCTTACGGTTTCTCCCAGAACTCACCAGTCCAAGTAGCCCGATACAATCAGACGGAATACAGATTGCAGAGAAGCGATGATAACAAAGAGAAAAGGGATCAGCATGTAGGTAAGATACTGGCAAGCCTTGGAGATGGAAGGCGGAAAAGGAGGAGAGGAATTTGGAAGGCAGAAAGGGCGGGAGTGAGGGCGGGAATGAGGGCGGAGACAAGGGCGGGAGCGGAATCGGGGGCACAATTTGTAAATACTGCCAAATATGGAATGATTATTGTGAATACTCCAAGCATTTGAAAGCAGTTTCAAGTTTGATGGCAAAGCTAAAAACTGCTGACTGTTTTACGTTCTGTACAAGTAGAATTTCCAAAGCTTTCCCGAGCGCTCTCCAGCTAGTATCCTTTCTTTCAATGCTTTCAGTGCTTTCGATGCTGGGAAATGCTGGGAAATGCTCTCAAGAGCTGGAGAACATCGCCCAGGTTTTGCAGATGTAGCGTTGATCACACTCTGGGGTGAGAAGGAGGGTCAAGCTCCTTCGGAAGAATCCCATCTCCTGCAAATACTGGATCACACCATGGCACTGTTTCAAGCCACCGACATTATCTGCCGTTATACAATGACACGCCATCGGATAGAAACATTCAGGGACCTTCTCAAACAATGGGTTGACGGTCTTTACAAGTTTCATCCCCATACAGTATTCCACAAGAAACGAACGAATGTTCATGTTGCTTTCCATCTTTATGACTTTCTCCTCCTTTTTGGCCCAGTACTTTCATGGTGGTGCTTCCCTTTCGAACGTTTGATTGGTACTCTGCAAAAGATCAATACAAACAATCATATTGGAGGTTCCCCCAATCCTTCTGTTTTCGTGGGCTTAACAGACTGATGAATTTTCAGGCGAAATGGAAGCCACAATTCTGAAGTCTTACGTTAAGAGTGCGACTCTTAGAAGGTGGCTCAATCGGAAGGATTGTCCTGAGCTTGTCCATGCACTCAAACGCCTCTTCAACAAGGCATTCAAATCAGATTCGAAGCAGCTCATGGTCGAAGAACCACCCACTACCATGTCATCAGACTCAAGGGATTGTGCACATTACACTTTTGGGGGTGTGAATTACTCTCGGGCTTCAGCTCATCTCGGTAACAGTCTAGTACTGTTTTATCCTTCAATAGATAAGCAGCCAGTAGCTGGAAGTATTCAAAGAATAGAGCTCTCAAATGGACAGCCGTTTTTCCACATTGTATTACAGCAGCCACTCCCTCCCAACAAGCATGACCCTTTTCGGCGTTTTCCCCATTTCTTTGGGACGACGTACTCTTCCAAAATGAGTCTTTCTCCTCCTATCAGAGTTCATGCCTCAAATATACTATCGCATGCTGCTCGATTTCAATTCTCAGAGGATCGTTCCGTCATACTGAACTTGTCACGAGTGAGAGTTATCTACCTCGGATTCTACTATTCTATTGACTCTTCAAGCTTAGGAGTAAATCATGCGTCGGTATATTATTCAGCGTATCATATCGTGGGTTCAGAACGACGTTGGTGGCCTCATTTAGTGGCCTCATCTTTGGGTAGTATAAAAAATAATTTCTTGCAATCATACTTGTTGCAAAAGACATTGACGTTATCCAATGTGCGTTGCATCAATGTGACCATGCTCTCCTGCCAACAACGACCTGAAACGCCCTTGAGAACAACAGCTGGTACGAGCCCCGAGCGGGATGTGGGATTGGATGTAATTAGTGCATACCCTCCTAGAGACTCGAAGAAGATTGGCTTTTCGATGGCATTTTCGGAACATTTCTCATTAATAGGTGCTCCGAGATGGAAAGTAATTGGCTTTGCAATAACTTCGCGGGCGTCTGTACTGCGGCACTCCGAATTATGAGCTATATATTTAAGCACAGTTTCCAAACGAGAAATGGTTGCAACGTGTATTTTCAAGACGAGTTCCAGCTGATGCTGAATTAAATATCCGCCCCGGAAGCTCAGGTGCCTGGCTGATTATACCTGAAGAGGCCCTGACACATGATGAGGACCATATCGACCACAAGTTCTCCATCCCGTTGCTTATACAAGTCCTTGAACTTGCTTTCGATAGCCTGGTCTTGGGCACTTGCCTTGTTGAGCCTCCCTCCAAGGGTTTCGCATCGAGCGCTCGACTCTCGTGACTGAACCTCGCCTCAACAGTCTCGGATCGAACGCTGGACTCTTTGAGACCACCTTTGAAAGTCTCACATAAAGCACCCAACTGCTTTAGCTTGTCTGGAAGAGACATACGCCGGTCGCACGACTCTTTGAGACTTTCATGATGTTGGGAAAGGGTAAGCCGTCCCATAAAAATCTGACTCTATCACTGACAATCAACCTCGATTGAAACAGGAATAAGGTGAAACATACCTCTCTGAGTATCGTAGGCTTGGTTTCCACTTTCTGGTTCTCTTGCTGAAGTTTATCAATATTCGTATGTGCGCATGGAAAAGTCTCGAAGGTCTGAAATTTATCGCTTGTTGTGATCGCGCGCAGTCGTGGTAGAATGTTCAGCAAGCAACTGCTGGCGAAATCAGGCGAGAAGGCTATTCGAGCTCAGTCAGATAGATGTGGGTGCTGTGCGCTGTAGCATTTGCTTTGTCTAAAGACAACGCAAGGGCTGCAGGATGGCTTTCAAGATCCCCGTGAAGGGTTGGCGAAGCATGATCGACAGGACGATGTTCGTGGAAAGGTGGTAATAGCGAGTACGGGGAAGCAGTTTCAGCCTTATCAGAGTGTGCTTCTTGCGCCTGGTTTATACTCTCATGTGATGAGAGAGTAGCATCTGGCGATAGGAAAGAGCAGTCGGAGGGTCTCGTAAATCTAGCGGGAGAGAGAGGGAATACTGGATAGAAGCTGGGTGTAGCGCCAGATTCGATTGTATAGGGAGCTTAAACTGTGAACGCCCTGGCGTACCAGCCGCTAAAATTACTCGAGCTGGTGTGTCAGGTATGAGCGGAGGTATCAAGTTGACGTGCTTTCCGTGGGGTGTATGAGAAGACTGCGCGATGGAGGAGCCTGGGAGCGAAGAAGAAACCGACATGGAAAATTGTTTCTGACTGGATTTTAAGCGTGCAGAGAGTCGGATTACCGGAGGGTGGCAAAGGTTAAGAGCTTTTACGCGATTTTCTTAATCGGTGGGAGAGTCGCCTAAGCTGGAGACATCGTTGATACGGAGGGGTAAAAGATTTTTCTGAGCGACTTGGTGGAGATGGATGCGAAATACAGTATAGTTCAGGTAGGATCTCTTTTTGATGAATAATGGAAAATGTTTGTTCAAACGTAAGACCGGTGCGCTTGGAATATATCCAGTACCGCAGGAATGTAGGCACGGAACAAACTTGCTTCTTCTTGGTGGAACAGCTATGGCAGGGACCTGTTCCCGCTTTACACTTTGTTCGACTGGTACATGTCGAGCACGGTCTGAGCACATCCACCAAAAATGATAGATCGATGTCAGCCAGAGAAGTCAATTCAGGTGAGAGAGCTCTCGACATAAAGACCCTATTCAACTCAGCAAGTGGAGGAGCAATGCATGGGGACTGAAACTGCTCCGAGCCACTGCTATCACCGTCGTTTTGCCGAATTACTTCCTCTTTGTTTAAATCAGGCTGTGTTTTTGGCCGTTTCTTCGTCGCTTGAAATCGAGCGCTTGCTGGAGAGCATAGCAGAAGTCTGAGAAGATGCGCAAGCTGCAGTTACTAGTAGTGAGAGGTCTTTGCATCTACTCACCTTCCTTGCTCAAGGCTATCTTATTCGGAACTGGAAGAGTCAATACATGATGAGATCGTGAACTGTCGTGAACTGGGTATAGAGAAAAAATTCCGCTCGACGGAACAAAATTCAGTGCAACTGATGTATCATGTGACCAGCGATATACCCGATATAGTTTATCCGCGATCACATGATATATCGGTTACGCTGAATTGTTACAATTCCGTCGAGCGGAATTTTTTCTCTTTCCGTGTTTATCCGCCGCGGGAGCCAGAACGTTAATCTGCTTCTCCTACTAGAGATCTAGGCGCCTCGAATTGTCATTGATCTTGTATTTCATATGAGTGGGGTCTTCTAAATTTCCTTTTCCTTCTTACCATGAATGAATTGTCCGAATTGTGCTTTCCCATCAGGTTGGATTGCCTCACGGTAGACAAAAGGGCCAAAACCAGTAAGTTCAACAGTGTGAGTACAATAGTGGCATCCAGATACAGTAGGATGAAATAATACTATTCTCATCGACGAACAAGCTCTGAGCGGCGAAGTTATCTCGAATTGTGTCTTTGTCCGACCAATCCGACTCGCTGAGCCTATTATACAGCAACTTTGATATTATGTACATACCTTTCCGAAGCCAGCAGCTATTTACGTTCGTCAAAAAGCCACAACACATATAAATATCAATGTCGAAAGCCAGGAAAAATGGAAACGCACATGCTTTTGAAGATGGTGAGACAATTCTCTTTGACTCTACTAGTATAGACGCATTCTGTCATATCATATAGGTGATTATCCGCGCAAACATCGGTCGTCTCTCTCATGTCTTTCGCTACTGCCAGTGGCTGCTCTCGTTTTTTGTTCTAGTGATGGCTCTCCGACATTCACACATTGCCAGAGTCGTGGTGTTCTCACCGTTGTGTGTATTACCGGAAGTGGGGATAGCTTTTGCGCCCATCCTCCTGCGACCACCACAGTCCCAATTGCCATTCCACGGTGGACTCATGAGATGGAGAAAATCGAGATGGATGCTTCAGATCTCATCGTTGCCGTTAATACTAGCGATATCGAAAGGAGAGACGTTCTGGGTAAGTCCTTCGATTTATCTCCATCTCTCAACGAAAGTGACTTACTCTTTACAGTACAATGCCTTTCGGCGTTAGTTAAGGACACTGGGAAAACCAAGAAGGGATTGGACGCAATTACTTTCAAGTATGCAGGGACTATTGAGCAGTATGTCATTGCCTGCGATATCCCGTCAAAATTGAACTTGAGAATATTGCAATTAGAATTCACGCTCTCACCTTCTACGGCGCTCGATCTACTGGCTGGGCTGATATTTTTGGAGCTTTGAGCATTTCAAAACCAAGTAACCGGGTCCTCCTGAGGTTCTTGGATGCCATGGAAATGATATCCCCTTCCGTCAATGGACTAAATGCACAGGCCAGCGTTCTGCTGGAGGAGCTCGAGGGGCTTGAGAGTTCCATATCGTTGCTCCATGAATTGAACCACCAAGCAATACTCGGAATTTCGTCGAAAAAATCGGAGATGCTATCTCAAACATGGACAACCCTGAGACGAAACAAAGCTGAGGTGAATATCCTTGACAAGCAGCTAGATTTATTGGAAAAGCTCGCGGAATACCGAACTGGTGCTAGAGGCATCGTTGCTTACGCTTTTTTGACCCTCCGGTCGATTCGAGATATTATGGAGGATATATCGTTACGTGCTTCAGACCCGATGTTGGTAGAAGGACGATTTCCAGTGCAGGTGCTCTTTACCACTATCCATCTCGCTTTAACTAGGTTAACTCCCTGGTTATACCTTCAGTTCGACTCGTTCTAACGTGCACGTGCCCCTTTCTTGAAACTTGTCATACAAATTTACAGATATATCGGAATTTTTGTTTTGACCTCGAGCGCTTACGATGGAATAGACTCGTCTCAAGCAGTATAAAACCACTATATCACTATTATATACCCCAAACCATATGGCTATCGAGTAGAATGAAACTATAAACGGCCGCTCATGAACGATACAGCATGCAACCACTGCGATATATTAATCATGCCATATCCCGCGGGACTATAAAGACATTCAGAAATGCTTTGGGAATTACTTGGTCCAATTTCTACTAGACGTGTTAGCTCCCGCTCTTGAAGATGTCTCGCAACGACCAGCCATTCTTCTGGTGACCTATTCTCGATATATGTTTTTCAAGCATCAAGGAACTATGCGTGCGCACCCTAATACTACGGCTTATTGATGTAAGTGTTAAACTACCAATTTGAGTAGTATGCGACGCCTCAAGATCCGGAGCTCTATGTCCAGGGAGAATCCTGGCAAGACTGTCGACCGGCAGGATTCATGTTCCGTAATTTCACCGGTGCTCAACGCAACTATCGGGTATTTGATTGAAAAATGCTCGCAATTCTCGAAGCTCTTCTGAAATGGGAAGATAAATTAGCTGGCTACAGGTGCACATTGTAACTGACCACGAGGTACCTTCTTCCAAACACATCAATGGTTTAGGAGTCGACAGATGCGTTGGACGGAAACCTGTCGCGATTCGACTTCGACATTACAGTGACTCCAAATCGCGTTGCTGACTTTTTAATCCGGATACTTCGAGAGTGACATGTACACTGAAAAGTACCGACCACAAGACGATATCAGTGCTGATGTACGATTAGACAAATTAGCTGAAGACTTACCAAGCGGCAGGAAAGATGAGGTCGCGACAATGATTGAGCAACTTCAAGCTCGACGGAAAGCTCTCGACAATGTTGAAGCGCGGGAAATTGAAGCCGAGAATGTAGAGGCGGTGCGTGAATTTGCGAGTATGCAACGGTCCTAACCCAACCGGGCAGGGGTCATCGTTCACCATTGAGGATTACTCGGACTTCGATAATGATATCAAGCTGGAAACATCACCTCGGACCGCGAGTAAGGATGTATATCTTGAAGTGCAAGGATTATCCAGATGCTTCCAGATGACAAAACTTGCCGTGAACAAACATCGATGTCTCGAGATGAGCGCCAATATTGATTGTGGGTCTGAAAGTCTACGACCGCCATCTATTACAAATTTCCTTATTCTACCATATACTTATTCGGAGCTGAAATTTCCTCAAATGGAACAAAACACCACCTCCTTTTGGTGGCTCTTCTTGTACACACGTTTCTGTACATATTATGCACAGGTCTTTGTCGAATCGCTGCGCTCATTTCTACCCCACCCTGCTTGTTCATCTACACAAATGGCGAATGCGGTGAGCTACCTCTCATTCTGATACCTCGAACTGAAGCCATACTCACAAAAGTAATACTGTAGGACCCTGTTACCAGTTTCCTACGATATATCGCTAGGCCACCTGAAACCGTCGACGCAAATATCGCTCTGACATTGGACGTCTTCCAATCTACGACTGTCTTCCTCTCAGGAATTTCATCTTTCAGGACTAGATACAACTTTCTCAAATGTAATTGGCCTCGTATATGGTTGTGGTTGAAAGCCCTCTTGAAGCCACTCGATGCTTTCAAAGACGCACTCTACGCTCCCGATGACCACGCGATTGACACAGTCAGTCGCTGCTTCTCAGAAGCGTTCTATTTTTTGAATTCAATTGCCTCCGCTAGTCGATCTACTGAAAGGGAACTGCAAGAACTTGTCGCTCACTTGGCGGATGATTCTGAGGTAGTTGTAGTCATGGCAAAATCTTGGGTTCGGGCTTTTACCAGACAGTGGCCATTTGCCGTTTATCGCCCTGTCACACAATTCCTCGTCGTCTTTGGTCGAATGATTGGGGGAACTCCTGCCGACTTGTCCTTTCGGGCGGCTGTGGCAGACGTTTGTCCAGCGTCGAACTTGTTATCAACGTGGCTGACAGCTGTCGAAGACTTTTTGAGTCAGACACGGTTATCCTCTGGCTCAGAGCGTCAGCTTGCAGCTGTAAATCGAGGAATGCTCTTGTCCGCGACAGCCTCGCTATTCCAACCCCTTCCGACGCTTGATGTAATAGATTTCACGTTGGTCCAAGCCCGTAAACTTTGGCGCTGGTACATCAAAATATCCCCGGTTTTGAACACCTCTCTTGAAAATCTCTGTATCATATCTATCTATTCGCTTGCGAAATTTTTCTCGCTACTCATTTCTGGCGGTCCACAATGGACTGCCAAAGTGTTGGATTTTGGTTTGTTGCGTCTGGTGGGAAAAACGTTGAACTGGATGCAGATTTCGCTAAACTCAGGGCGGGACCGGTCCATCAGCAGTGTCTTCGAGGATATCCTAAACACGGTTCTTCTTCATTCAATCTATAGAGTTGTCGCCAAAGGGATCTGTCACCATATGAGGATGGCAGAATTTCAAAACTTCGAGACTTACTTGGGTGCTGGACAGCTGAGGAAAGTCTGGTCAGATCTCATGAGTGAGATTCACTCGCCAAACACCTGTTACACGCGATCCATTTGTTTTCAAAAAGCCCTAGAAACGGCTTGTTCAAACCTACAGGTATCTTTCTACTGTTCAACGAATGAACATATTCTGACAGTGTTATGCTTCAAGTGTTTCGATCCTGTCCTTCCTGATAATCATCTGCAACGTTGCGGTGGTTGTCTTATTGCCGTCTATTGTTCAAAACTGTGTCAAAGGCAAGACTGGCAAGCTGGGCATAAGAACTCCTGTTCGAATGTAAGACGTAAACAAATCAGTCAGTTCGTCCTTCTCTTTCAAGATTTTGTTAGTCATGTTCTTGCTAGTTCACCCTCGAGATTATTCTCAAAATGACCAAGATGCAGCATACCTGAGTGATCTGGACCGATTCCAGCTTTTTATTCGAGTTCTCATTGAAGTCAAAGCTCGCCGTGGTGAAATTTCTCAATTGATTCGTACTCAACACTTCTCAGACTCCTCAAAAATCGTCATCGAATTCAGTTTGACGACCTACCCTTGGACGTGGAGGGTTTTGAACCAAGTTTCTTCGTCGAGGTTACACTTGTATCTTCAGTCAGGCACAAAATTTCCTAGCAACCAGGACACAGTAGTTGCGGTAATATGTCCTCGCACTCTGTATGACACAGACTATTTTGCTCGACCAGTTCGTCGGATGACTTTGTTGGATCCTAGCCATGAGTTTGTGTACGAAAATCCTAATGGACAATTACTCTCCAATCTAGTTGATGTTCTCCTTTGACTAGTGAATTAGTGTTAATCTCCTACTAACTACTATTGAGATACTTGTACTCTGTCATATAACGGTCACATAATCTAACAATGAATGTATATTTCAAAACCTCTGGAGCAGAAGATGGAAAGGCATGAGCTTGAGATGCAATTTTGATTTCAAGTTGCTTTCAACTATATGAGAGCACATACCAATTCTCCGAATATATGCAAGCCAGGCAAGCGGCAAGCGGAGGGTCCGACTAATTATGAATATCTTTCATCATACTTAGTGTTCAATAATGTTAACTGCTAGTATAATCTAAACTCAGTTGACTGTAGGGCGACTTTGTTGAGAGATGTGCCTGTTAGTGTAATCCAAACTGTGTTACAGCGTGTTCGGAAAATGATGACAAACGTGATTTTTTTTTCTGCTCAAAAAAAAAATTAAAATAAAATAAAATACAAAGGTACGCGTCGGATACCGCACATTTGAGTGGAATTTTTATTTGATCAGCTAGGGAAAGATACAGCAGAAAAAACAGGTGGCTGAGCAGGCTGGAGCAGCAAGGAGGGGGGGAGGTGCGGGACCGAGTCCTGAGGGGCTCAGCAACAGGAGACAGAGGTAGTAGCAAGAAGGAGACGGCTGGCCAAGGTGGACCACCAGGGGTCAGAGGGAGACCTTTCCCAGCAGGGTTGCTGCTTCCCAGTGGTGATAACAAGGGTGACGAAGGGTAAAGGAAAAGGGAAGGCGCGAGCCCAGGTACATTGTGGCCTCTTTTTTCCCAGACATACTAACTGAGCTTGATGTCATAGACTACCAGCAGGGACCCTGACGACACTAGCAATAGTGATAAAGATGAAGGATGAGCACCCTGCGAGCGGTGTAGAGCTAAGAAGATCTCTGGCCAGATGTAGACTGGCAAGAGATGTCATGAAGTACGTAGCTGTCATAAAGTACGCAGCCCCTATCATTTTCCTTTTCTCACCGTCTCGACGCCTTTACTTGTACGATACATCATCCCATCACTGTCAAACCCCCATCAATTACTGATCCACCTGACCCATCTTCTCTTTCTACTGGCTTCCGCTACCTTCCTTGCCCCTGAACTATACAGTATTACATCGTTGTTTCTCGCAGACTGGATTATGTATATATAGCCAACCCTCCACAGCCTGGTCCCTTATCTTGACCTCTCTGTCATTATCTGGGACCAGGTATGTGCTTACTTACTACTACCTATGACTACGATACTCAATATATCTCTGTCATTATCTGGGAGCAGTTTGCCTTCGCTCCGCTTAGTCGCTCCGCCTCGCTGACCTGTTTAGTCGCTCCGCCTCACCGCCTTGCTTAGTCACTCCGCTTTCTTGCTCCGCTAGTCACTCCGCCTCTGCCGCTTCGTGACATTAGGTCAAGATCCATTACTGCACTGACAGCCTACCGATAAGGTTGTCCTTGCAGGATCTATAGACACCACGTCTTCCCCAGTCCCGCCCGATTCTGAAACACCTGCTGCCAGTATAGACTGCTCCGCACTCCTGCACGCACTTGACCCCAGAGACCAAGCTCACGCCCACAACAACGACAATACTTGGTGCGATTGCCAGTCTCAACCTTGCCCCAACGCCCTTCCCAACTCAATCCAAGAGCCACTCACTGTGAGCAATATAACCTTCCTGC